GCGCGGTCTTCGGGGGGGGGGGGGGGGGGGGCGTTAACTGCAAACAGCCTAAACTCAGGGGATAACACGGGATAATCCCAGCGAATGTTAATCACCTACTAGCTGAAGGCGTGCGAGGCTTTCCAGTCTGACCAGGAGCGAGACCTGTACGGCTCCCACTTGAGTCAGTGCCCGATTCCTCTGGCCGCTTTTTGACAACCACGTTGCTAAAGCTGCCAGCGGGCTCCCAGGTGCTCTGCAGAGCCGGAGCCTAGCTGGGAGCGGATCGGCCGATGCCCGCGGGCCGGGAGCAGCTGGGGTTTGTGTAAGGGCGATCAGAGCGCCCGGGGCCGCAGCAGCCGCGGTGCCCCTCTTCCCTGCACCCCCGGGGTGGGTTTCACAGAAGGCAGGGGCTGGCCGGCTCCTGCCAGCTCCGGCTGCCTCGCGTCCCAGCCCGATCCCCTGGCCTGTGGCTCCGCGGCTGGAGGTTGTAGTTACCCAGCCAGAGGGCTAAGGGAAGCTTGCCGATCTGCTTTACATTTAAGCCTCAGCCTGGTTTGGGAGGCCATCTATGGAGATACAGTCTCGGATCAGTTTCCCTCTACAGTCCCTGTCGTATGCGAGGTAGCTGGTTACCAGAGCACAAAGGCAAAAATAAAAGACACAGGGGGGTTACTTAATTATCCAGGCTGAATAAGGGGCCCAATCCTGGATTCCCTGGTGGGGCAAGGGGGAAGGACCAGGTTGTAATAGGGACAAGATACCGCAGGCTGAGCCACGCTACATCAATATATTACTGATATATTATATCAGTATAATTTATCTCCTCTCACAGCCGGGTTGGGGGCTCAAAGAGACTTGCAGAAAGCACTCCCTGCAGGGCAACGAGCCGCGATCTGCCCGGCAGCATCCTCAGACTGAGCCTAAACAGATGCCTACCGCCTTGCGTGGGGTCCCCCAGCAGTATTTTCTAAGAGGTGTAAGTGTGTCGTGGCCCCGCATGGAGTTAATCATCACCCCGCGCGCCGGAGCTTGAGGCGCCTGGAACGTCGGGAAACAGAAGGTTCGGCAGCGACACGTCACAAAGGGATGTTTCCTTTATTGTTTCTCCTCGGTGGAGCAGCCCCCTCCAGACCCTCACCTCGCGGGCACGTGGACCGCAGGTTGCTCTGCAAATATAAATGTGCTCACTTTAGAAAAGAAAAGAAAAGAAAAAAGAAAAAAAATGTCAGGCTGCAAAGCCAGGGGCCGGGCAGGGAGGGAACCGGTCCAGAAGGCCCAGGGAATTTAACTGCTGTGCTTAATCTGGTGCCTGCTAATCTCTAGAAACGCAAAATGTAGCAGCGCACGCATTAAACCCCAGGACTCTTCCCTGCTCGGCTGATTTGGCCCCAGCATAAAGAAGCTGGATCCGGGTGCAATTGGACACGCAGATTAGGGAGACCAGCTCTTGGCCCTGGATGGACCCCCTGGGGTCCCTGTGGCTGGGAATCGGGACAGATCCCGCTCGCATCCAGCTCCCCCGGCAGACGCGCTGGCGGCGACTGAGCACAGAGCAGGCGCTGTTCTGGTCCATCGCAGCCGCAGCTGGACCGGCCGAGGTGGCCGCCTTCACGGAACACATTTCTGGAGCGCTATTGCCTAACGAAAGCCCAGCCGCTCATCGGCGCCCTGCCCAGACCGTCGCTTACTGATCGCTTAGCCCTTCTCTCCCCACTTGCTATTACATTTTCAAAGCTCTCCCTGCAGCCCGGCGCGCACAGCCCCGACCACAGGGGCTGCCCCGAGAAGAGGCTCCCCAGCGAGCAGAAGCCCCGGCTGGATGGGTTGAAAATATTTCGGTCGTTTCAGCCCAGGTACCTGCTCACAGAGGTGGGGCCTGCCGATCGGAGCCGGGCTGACTCCAACCCGCCCCCCACGGGCCTGAGAATGGTACCGATCCCTCCTGCCAACCACAGATGCCCCCATGATAGGCAAGGAGCCGGGCTGGGGGGAGACTCTGGGAGCCGGGAGATGCCCGCAGCTCTGCCCACGCCCTCCAGCCATTCCCCCTCTTTTCTCTTCATCTCATATCCAGCGTTGAAACTCTCGACAGATCCATGCAATCCCGGTTGGAAGAGGCAGAACAGGGAGATTTGAGAGCACGGAGCAGTTAATATGTCCCAGATTGAATGTAAAGATAAACGAACCCCCCGGCCCCTCTCGGTGACAGACGCGAGACATTTCACTTGATCCATATAGATGCAAAATGACATGAGCTGGAGGGAGGTTTTCCCAGAGCCGAGCTGGGTTAGGGGAAGTCACCTTCCCTCCCAAGGAGGCTACCCAGTGCCACTGCTTATTTGTTCAATTAAACACACCTCGGGCGCCTCTGTCTTAATACCATTAAAAACACTCCAACCAAAAAACACTGTTAACATTATTTGATAGGGTCATTTACCACTGGGGTATGTACTAGGCAGTCCCCCCCCGCCCATCTCCCTCCCAAACTCTCCCAGGTTTTGAGGATTCCGACCTCGCACTACAGAAATCAGACAGATTTACTCATCAGGGGCATCAGTAAACTGAAGGACATGAGCAGCAGCTGGGCTTGGTAGAAGGCAACCCAACATCTCAGCTCCGGGGCCCCTGCAGTAGCTCGAAGAGCACCCGCAGGAGCCTGACTGCAGGCGGGGAGCAGCGGCACAAATACGTACCAGCCGCCCGGCAGCCCTCTCACATCCAGTCGGGCTATTGCTCCGATAGTTCAGGACGCTAGGACTGATTTCTCTTCTATTTACTTGTTATAAGAAATACTTTCTTGTTCCAGTGGCAACATCGCACGCTGCTATATTTAAAAAAATCCAGCCAACCAACCAACCAACCAACAAAACTTCAGGAGATCGGTTTCTTTCACTTCTCTGGGACAGCGGAGTGTATCGTCGTCTCCACCTTCCCTTCAATAATTGGCTCACTGGGAAAAGACAAAAGGATTCCTCCCTTAGATAGTGGGCATCTCAAGTGACTGAGCCCATGTTAGTGCTTTTACGAGGGTTAGTTTAATATATGTGTAAATCTATACATATTTTTAATTACAACTTCAACGCACTATCGCTTATTTTTAGAGGAGAATTTGAGGGCTGCTTTGAAATCCACGCTAAACACTGTTTTTAATAACAACTCGATATGTCTGTAAATAAAATGTTCCTTTGGCAGCAAAGAAGAAACGGAGAATTAGTCTGAGCAGCTGAATATGTGTGTGTATATATATATGTATATATATACATATGTATGTATATATATATATATGTATATATGTGTAAGTATGTATATGTGTTATTTATATTATATATCACAATATATTATAATAGACATTATGCACTAGATTACAAAACACAATATAATGTACAATATATCACAATACAGTATACATTATGCATTAAATACGATATACATTATATATTATATTGTGTATATCGTATCTAATGCATAATATATATATATTATATTATGTTATATATTATGAGCCATTATATTGTGCATTACAATATCTAGTATACATTATGCATCAGATAAGATATATATAATATATCACATATATGTATATTATGTGTTAGATAGATATACACAATATATAACATATATTATAATACGCACTATGCATTAGATAAGATGTACACAGTATACCACACATTATATATTATAATATACATTATGCAGTAGATCAGAGGTACACAACATATCACATATATATTATAATGTACATTATGCATTAGATAAGATATATACAATATAACAAATACAATAGTATGCATTAGATAAGAGGTACACAATATAATACATAACATCACATTATATACTATAATATATATTATGTATTAGTTAAGATGGGCACGATACATTATAATAATATATCACCTTTTTTAGATGCTGTATGAATATATATTACATAGACTTGTCCGATGTTACGTTTTTTAAGTTCAAATGCTGTCCCGGGGAACCGTAAGTCCCTGCTTTCCCAATGCAAATGTCACTTCTAGCTTGGAGGGGAGCTGGAGCTTGAACTCCGGTCCGCGTAGCAACACCTCAGCCCGGCGCTGGAGATGCCCCGTGCGCGGCGGAGCTGGCCGAGCCGCCGGCCCTTCTCGCAGCGCCGCTGAAAACACGTCCCCCGCGCTGCCGGGAGTCGGCCAGGCTCAGCTCCGCGGTGAAGCGCGGGTCAGTTCCCGGCTCGGGGGGAAACTTTGCAAACTGGGGGGAGGGGGGAGCCACCTCTGCCCCTGGGCAGAAGCAGGGTGGGGGCCACACTGATTAACTTTTATTGCATATAAACTCGTGGGCCCAGCCGGTGTGATATAATGGGGGGAGGGGGGGATAAATGAGGATGATCCCGTTTCGAGCTCCTGCCAGCCCCACCCCGGGCCGTCCCTCCCTCCCTCCCTCCCCAGACGGCGGGTGCCCGGCCCTGGTGGTCGCGGTGGGAAGGCAGGGG